GTTTTTCTAACTATAAATCAAAATAAGAAGTCTTACAGAAAGCAACTAGTAACTTAGACTACATATGTATTTTTTCTGTATGATGAAAATCACCATATGGAAGTAACAAAAGACAGAGCTTTTTTTCTAATTTATTTGTTTATTTTTTGGAGAGGTTTTTTGTTATAGGCACGTGCGCTCGCCAGACAGACAGACAGAGACCAGACAAGAGAAGTGAGAAATCACCCCCCAGGGGGGATGGTCACGCCACAATCCCTTCTCCTCCATTCACCTCTCGGGATCTTTGGCACGTATGCACACGCACCCGGCGTGAGTTTTAAGTCACCGGGGTCTGGGACGTGAACCGCAGTCGACTACGTGGGAGTCCAGCGACATAGCCATTACGCTAACTGCTGGTCCCTAATTTATTTATTTATTTACAGTCATTCACTGTACATCAATACAGTATACAAAATGAGATTTTCCGACAGAATACATTGTATATTGGCTCAATCAAGGATATTACCATACATGTTATCATCAACAAATATTTTTCTATTTTTTGTTTTTATATATTTTGCTTTGTTTCCCCCTTGATTCCCTACCTCTCACTCTCTGCCATCCTCCCTCCACTTCTCCCATACTGACACTGGCATGTACAGTTGTTTTCCATTCCTTTTATTCCCCACATCTTATTGATTCACTAAAGATCTTAATTAATTTTAAAACTTTTCATAGCAAGCACAGCTGATATATAGATCTGTGAACACATGTCTGACTTTAGGCATAAATCTCAGTGAGTAATGTGAACATACTATAAAGTAGCACCTTGCTGGAGCTATATAGCTTACTGCAGTCATTAAATAGGTATTAATAGGTATTTTTAATGCTTTTTTATTTCAAGAAAAACAGTTTTGGTTTTCATAGATCAAAATCAAAAAATGTTAAGAGAAATTTGCTTAAAACTTAAAGCCAGGAAGAAGTTAGAATTCAGTTCAAATAATAGGTAGGTGAACCTATCAGCAGTTCAAGAGAAGACAAAGCTCCTTAAATATGGAAATCAAAGTATCTAAGAAAATCAGTAATGTTTCAGTCTGAAGTCCAAAAAAAATTCTATTAGTTCAGACTCATGTAATTATTCTTTCTTTTATTGAATTTGCAGTGTTACTATTACCTAATCTTTCCATTTAAACTCTGGAAGTTAACATTCAACTCTGGACTTGTCCCTACCATTAGGTGACCTTTCTCTTGGTTGTTTTTTGTACTCTTATTTCTCTGTGTCCAACTTTAGTTTTCCTGGTATAACACTCCCTTCAGCACTTCTTGGAGAGCTGGTCTGGTGTTGGTAAATTCTTTCAGGTTTTGTTTATCTGAGGATGTTTTTGTCTTTTTTTCCCATATGAAGATAATCTTGCAGGGTATAGCATTCTTGATTGAAATTGTTTTTCACTTAAGACTTTGAATATATTTTCCCATTCTTCCCTTGTTTGCATTGTTTCCAATGAGAAGTCTGACAGCCTTATGAGATATCCTTTGAAAGTAACTTGACATTTCTCTCTTGCCAAATTTAGTATCTTGTCTCTGTCTGTGGATTTGGTCAATCTGACTATGATGTGCCTTGTAGATCTTGGGTTGATTCTATGTAAAGCCCTTTGTAATTCTTGGGTATGTATATTTGAGTGCCTCTCTAGATTTGGAAAGTTTTCTTCCAGGATTTCATGGAATAGATTATCAATGCCCTTATTAGTTTCTTCACTTTCTGGGATACTGATGATCCGGAAGTTTGGGCGTTTAATGGTATCTAATATTACTCATATATTATTCTCATTTTTTTGGTTATTTTCTCAGTCTTTTTGGTGAATTTTTCTAGGTCAGAGGTTCTAGCTTCTACATCTGAGATTCAATCTTCTGCATGATCTAATCTGCTTTTGATATTTTCAAGGGATGTTTTGATGTCCTGTATTATAATCTTCCTCTCTAACAATTCTTTTTTATGATGTGCAAGAACTTCCTCACCTCCTGGAACTTGGTGTCTCTTTTCTCCTGCATGTTCTGGAGCTCATTGTCCCTCTTCTCTTTTATCTCTGTTAGCTTTGTCACTATGAATATTTTAAATTCTTTATCTGACATTTCCATGATTTCCCTTGTATTGTCTGTGGAGGAAGAAGAGTTATTCTTTTCCTTTAGCGGAGAGATATTTTCTTGGTTTCTCATATTTCTTGTGCCTCTTGTGGTTTCTGGTTATCAGATGGATTATGTATTTTTCATAGTTTTTGGAGTTAAATCTGAGCATTCAGAAGAATGCAGGAGGAGGTGACCTTTTTTCAACCTAGTCTCCTATAGTCACACTACCGTTTTTCTCCCTTTGCATGGCTGATTCAATGAAAATTGAGGATTAGTCTGACCCTAAAAGTATTCAGATATTTGGCTAGACCTAGACCTGTCTAGAAAATCAGTGTGTGGAGGATGAGCAGAAAAGTGAGAAAGGTAAAAAGAAAAAGGAATAGGAAAAAAGAGAGAGAGAGAGAGAGAGGGAAAAAAAGACAAAAACAATTAAAAACATATTTTTCTTGTCAAAAAAATAAAAACTGTGTGGCGCAGGGCCTCTCAGAACTCAAATATAGATGGCTGCTGATTGGCTTGTCCTGTGGGAGCAGGGGGAAAGGAAGGAATTAGCAAGAAAAAAGAGTGGCAAAGAACTAAGAAGTTTAAAATTTTTTTAAATTAAAAATATATAGAGAGAGATGGAGAGAGACAATAAGAATAAGTAGGGTGCTCTAATCTGGCTCCTGGCTAGATCTGGGGAGCAGGAGGATGAAGTCTGGGCAGAGGATCTTCGGTGGTCATAATTCCTGAACTGGGCCGCTCAGAACTCAAATATAGATGGCTGCTGATTGGCTTGTCCCGGCTCCTGGTTAGATCTAGGGGACAAGTGGGTGAAGTCTGGGCAGAGAGTCTTTAGTGGTTGTAATCTCACACAAAATACAGAGCTTAATTGCTCATAATCTTGGGCTTTATTGTCTGTACAGTCTGGTACTATTCTTCATATTTAAAAAATTGAGAAATCTCCACCCCCCCCCAATAAATCAATCACTTCTCCTCCATTCTCCTCTCGGGAGTTTAGGCACACACACACACACACACACACACACACGCATACACACGCACGACATGAGTTTTAAGCTGTCAGGTCCAGGACTCAAACTGTGGTTAACTATGTGGGTGGGAGTCCAGTGACATAACCATTACGTCATCTGCTGGTCCCTCAATATCATTTTTAAAGGCTATATACTAGTCCAATTTATAGATCCAATGTCATTTGTATTTCTAATCTTTTGCAACTAGCTGAATTAAAACAAACATATACTACTCATAAGGCTTCCTAATTAATGAGGTCACATGTATAATTTGCAAGTACAGCACAGTACTGTATTTGGGTTTTGCCTCTGGTCTTAGTTCTGCCTCTTCAACTCTACTTGGCCTGAAGTCTTTGTTCTAGACAAATCGTCACGTATTTTTGCCTACCTAACGGGCTGTCCTCCGTAGTTCCAGTGAGCCAGACTGACCGAGAGGAAATGTTATAAACAGATTTTCCAGCTGGTTTGAAGTAAAGTGGTTGCTCAGAAAGCCAATAGGCTACTGACAGATGCAATTGCCACATCAGAGAACAAGTCCTTCATACTTTGGGTTGCTCCTTTTGCACTGAGCTGTATTTTCTAATACATTAACCAATAATCATGTGTATCACTTAAATTTAAGTATAAGTAAAGTTGAATTAAAAGTTTAGCTCCTTGGGCCAGACAGTGGCATACTGTTTGAGGCTACTGGATTCCCCATGACTGACTACGATTCAAATCCTAACCCTGGTTACCTGAAAAGCATGCTGGGCATGTGTATGTGTGTGCTCGCCAAATCTTGACAGATGGAGAAATGGAGGAGAAGGGATTGTGGCATGACCATGCCCCATTGGAGGTTACTTTCTCCCTCTCCCTCTCTCTCTGCCTCTCTGTCTTTTTCTGGTGACTACGTGTGCCTTCTAGCAAACAAAACAAAATTAGTTCTTCAGTTGCAGTGGCCACTTTTAAAGTCCTCAGTAGCCATATGTGGCTGTGGCTACACTAAAAGAGAACGCAGAAACGACTTCTGTCT